GAGAGAGCTCAGGACTTTTGGAGAAGGAAGAATTGCGAGAGTTTGCTGCAGTTCGGCCCAGGGACTCAGAGCACCTGAGAGACCAGGGACGGGGAATAGTGGAGGAAAACCCCAGCATCATCTTTCTCCCCCTTTACCCAAAGAGCAGGAACGAGTGATAGGCACAGCACTTAAGAGTTGCTTTGGGCACTAGATCAGGTCACGCTGCCTTCCTGCTGTGTTCTTTGTGTAGCAGATTTGTGTAGGAGACACTTCATGCTCCTGACTCTCAAAAGGTGGCTTCAGGGGCTCCACAACTGTAGGTAGACTCGGTTGATTAGTTGTCAGTCCGTCAAATCTACAAAAAAAAATTCCTGAGGTAATCAGGAATTAGGATTGTTGTTATAGGCTGTGTGTTTGATCCTAAAGACAGTGATTAGCTGGAGACCCTGCCACACCCCTCATCTATCCCTGGCATGGAACCTGTTCTCCAGCTTATACTTGTAATTAGCCTTACCTCTCCTCACAACCTGCTCAAAATCATATTTGGCCATTTTCTATCGTTTTCAAATTTGAACAAAATTTTCATATTTTGTTTGCAGAGTCCTTGTCAAGTTGGTTTACTGGTTTACTGGTCAAGGTGGAAGGTGGGAAATATCCATCAATAGGATAATTGTTCCAGCTGAATATTTAAGAAGCAGAGTCAAAGCAGTCACTTTCCTATATCCTCTTGAGCAAGACGGAGCAGGGCACTGTGAGTGTTCCACCTTTCTCCGGATCCAAGGCTCTATAATATCCAAAACATTCTGGCCCACTCTTTGCAGATAGGCACACATTGTAAGTATCTCTGATCACAGAAGAGTTAAACAAAATTTAGAGGCAAAATCCTGAGTTTTTTTATTTCAAGCATGTTTTATTTCTTTTAGTACCCATGAGGCAGATTATCTCTGCATTATCTGGCTTAGAAAAAAGGTTCCCATTATTTTAAGGAGCAAACTGTTCTGTGAGAAGATCTTTTGTTATTTAGAAACCAGTAGGTGCTAATTAAAATGTGGCAACAGAAACTCGGTACTCAAGGACCAGGGTTACTATTTTATTAACCTACCTAGCATGTTTCTGGAAGGAAAACAGAAACAATCCACACGAACGCAGGGAGAACAAATAACCTACATACAGAAAGCACATTGTGAATTGAATTCAGGGCCCTGGAGCTCTGTGACAACAGCACTAACCAGCACATCATCAAACCTGCCCTGCAAAAGGAACATGCAGAGCTTAGTTTCAACATGAAAAGAAAATAG